AATATAAACTTTGCTAGATGAAAAGATCATAGAATAAATGTTGGGAATAAATGTCTCACTGATTTGTCTCCCCTTGCTTGCTTGAATAATAGAGCACTAAATCAGCCATCAATACCAGACAGTGTTTCTCTATCCAGAGGAATGTAAAACAGTAGTTATTCATTACCTTATAGCAATGCAGAGAGGCCAACATATCTTTATAGTACCCCTTTTTTTAAGAGTCAACAAATATTTATTGCCTACATACTTTGTGTGAGGAGGTGTTATGTTTGCTTAGTACATACCTCTGAAATACTACCACTATCCTTAATTTATGTTCTAATAATAAATTCAAAAACAAATGAAAATTATGTATGTGTGGAAAGAGAGAAAGGGAAGGGGAGTAGGTGAATCTGCTCAGAATAAACTCTGTTTCTCGATCTGTAAAAATCTTGACCCCCAAGCCCCATCTACACACCTATACCCGCTTGCATTCTTGGTAGAGTGAAATACTAGTCTGAGCCCATGGTTCACCACCCTGCCTGAGACCAGCACAACTTATTTAGCCACATACATGCCAGAGGCCCACTTGGTGAGGCGGATTCAGATCTGGATTATGACACAAGCGTCTCTTTTGGTTTAAAATCTCCCTGAGGGAGATGCTTGTGTCATAATCCAGATCTGAATCTGAAGTAATTAGCCCCCAACTAATAAAAATAAATGAAAAAAAATAAAAATAAATAAAAATTAAAAATAAATAAAAGCCACTTTACAGATAAAAAATAAAATAAAATAAAATAAAATAAAATAAAATAAAATAAAATCTCCCCGAGCTTGCTTTGATAGGCAGTCAGTTATAGAATCCACTGCCCTGAATCTACTCAGTATGGTCTGAGCCAGTGTTGTCTGGGAGTTTGTTAGTAACATAGAATCTCAGACCTTATCAGAGAACTGTGAATCAGACTCCATGTTCTAACAAACTCAAGAGAGGTGTATAGCACGTTCAAGATTGAGATATACATCTCTACATCATTGTCCTACTTCTCTACTCTTTTACACTTAATCTGTGTAGATATACCCAAGCACTTCAAACCTATTTCTTAGAGGGAAATGAGTGTAGGCCAAAGAAATAAATAATCTTTCCCCCCAAGAGAAATTCTTCCTGGGACTTCCTGTGAAAATCTGTTCTGCTTTCTCACAGTATTTTTATAACCTGGAAACAATTTGTAAAAAAAGTATATGTGGTCAGAAATCCATCATGCTAATTCTATGTTATTTGATATCATAATAATATAATTGTTTATTAATTCATTGGTGAAACAGTTTTTATGAAGTTTTTTCTGAAGCATTCTTGAAATTGAAAACTTTTTTTCTCTCAGCTTAAAAGGATGAGTAGGCTCTTCTGAATGTTTAAAATTTTAAAAAATGATCAAATTCATACAAAAAAATTTAGGGGGTGCATTTTCAGGGTCTGGTAAACAACATAAGTTTTTTTTTTTTTCATTTTGTTTTCTTTTCCCTCTTTGTTTTTAATAAGTAGACATGAATATTTAGTTATGGGCTCAGAATTTCTTCATGTAAGTTTTTAAGAATAAATACTAGCCTATAATTGAAATAAAATATTTTTTATCAAAAAATGGAAAGGAAAGTATTTAAGATCCCTTTTTCATATATATGTGCATACATATATATGTTACATGCAGTAACATATCTAACAAATAATAAACTTCAAAAACATATATAATTATGTCCATATAATTTCCACAGCTGCCAGAGTAATCATCTCACAAACTCCAAAACTACCAACAAAGAACAAATAAATATATCAGAAGACATTTTTCTCTTTAGGTTCATGACAAACAAGATTTATAATTCAGATTCAATCATCACAGCTGAAAGTGAATACATTGCAGAAATAGAACCTGTGATATTAGCTATGGTGAACAATGAATTAAAGCCATTCCCAATGACTCACAGTTTTTCTTTTTTCCCTGTTCTGGCAGCCAGTCGAAAAACTGGTAAATCTACTTAATATCTACTTTTGCAGCTAGGGGTGCTGCTTCATCATTAAGAGTCCATGCTTTATGACATGGGAATAATTCATTTGAAAACAGGCAAGTCTGGACTTCCCTGGTGGTCCAGTACTAAGACCCCCTGCTCCCAATGCAGAGAGCCCAGGTTCGATCCCTGGTCAGGGAACTAGATTCCACATTCTGCAATCAAGAGTTCACATGCTGCAACTAAAGACTGAAGATCCCGCATGCGCCAACTAAGACCTGGCACAGCTAAATAAATAAATAAATATATATTTTTTAAAAGAAAAGCAAAGGGAAAAGGCTGATTTGCTAAATGATATTTAATCCAATTCTGTGTGAATATCACTCTTTGGTAGGGTCACCATAATGATGAAAGATCATTAATTGAGCCACAGATCAGCAAAATAAGTCATTCCGGAGAGCAAAGTAAGTAAAATACTTTGCAAGGAACTTCAAAACACTGACACAAGTTTTAACAGCTGGCCTGTATCTTCTAAAGCTAAACTTGACCTAAAACTTTGTCAGATAAAATATACCACATGTAAAAGTGTTGTTCAGTCGCTAAATTGTATCTGACTCTTCGGGACCACATGAACTGCAGTGCACCAGGCATCAGTCCTTCACTGTCTCCGGGAGCTTGCTCGAACTCATGTCCATTGAGTCAGTGATGTTATCTCACCACCTCATCATCTTCCAACCCCTTCTCCTCTTGCCCTCATTCTTTCCCAGCATCAAGGTCTTTTCCAATGAGTTGGCTCTTTTCATCAGGTGGCCAAAGTATTGGAGCTTCAGCTTCAGCATCAGTCCTTCCAATGCATGCTGTGCTGTGTTGTACTAAGTTGCTTCTGTCATGTCCAACTCTTTGCAACCCCGTGGAGTGTAGCCTGCCAGGCTCCGCTGTCCATAAGACTCTCCAGGCAAGAATACTGGAGTGGGTTGTCATGCCCTTCTCCAGGGGATCTTCCCAACCCAGGGATCAAACCCAGGTCGCCTACATTGAAGGTGGATTCTTTACCATCTGAGCCACCTGGGAAGTCCCTTCCAATAAATATTCAGGGTTAATTTCCTTTAGGATTGACTAGCTTGATTTCCTTGCTGTCCAAGGGACTGTCAAGAGTCTTTTCCAGAACCACAGTTCAAAAGCATCAATTCTTTGATAGCCTTCTTTATGGCCCAATGCTCACATCGGTACATGACTATTGAAAAAACTACAGCTTTGACTATACTTTTTGTTGGCAAAGATATGTCTCTTTGTTTTAATATGCTGTCTAGGTTTGTCATGACTTTTCTTACAAGGAGCAAGTATCTTTTAATTTCGTGACTATAGTCATGGTCCACGTTGATAAAAGTGTTATTGTAAAACAATTCATAGATTTCACATACAATATTTAAATTTAGCTATGTTATAAAAACAAAAGCAGGTAATAAGTAAGGGTTGGCTAAAAATTTACCAACATTTTATTTAAGTACTATTACTAGTCAAAGATTTGGATAAATTACACTGTTTTTGTCTATAAACTATTAAATCTAATTTGCTTTAAGCCTTTTATTATCTCAGAGATCAACCATACTGACCACTAAGTGCAACTGGGCATCCTTGCCAGTGTCCTGTGGTAAACAGAATGATCTCAAGCAAGAAGAAAACCTCAAATAAATATCTCTGCTATTATTACATCCCACACTTCATTATGTCATATTTATTCTTACTGGTCTTTCCTATGTGATTGTTTGAGAAATAAAGGAACAAAGTAAATACTATAGAGATTTTAGGGCTGTTTAAAAATGTTTATTAAAAACTTTTCCAGATGACTTTCTGGTTTATAGTATTATGGGTGATTTTATTTAGTTGTATATTTCTTTTTTTAGTATTTTCCAAGTTTCTGTAAGTATATATGAATTACTTTCAAAATTTAAAAAGAAAAATATTTCAAAAATATACCACGTGAGTATTGTAAGTGGAATGAATATTATAATGATCAAGAATGTCTGCGTGCTAAGTCGTTTCAGTCATGTCCGACTCTGCAACCCTATGGACCATAGCCCACCAGGCTCCTCTGTCCATGAGATTCTCCAGGGAAGAATACTGGAGTGGATTGCCATGTTCTCCTCCAGGAGATCCTCCCGACCCAGGGATTGAACTTGTGTCCCTTACCGACCCCTCCTGCACTGGCAAGTGGGTCCTTTACTACTAGTGCCACATGGGAAGCCCCAATGATCAAGAATAATAGTAGTACCAAAAAAAAAAAGAAGGATATCATTACCAGTAGATTTACTCAGTGGCATGATAATATATTGTATTGCTAATTTGTGCCTTTTCACTCTTGTTAGTTTCCTTTTTTTAAGTTATGACTTTGGGCTCCTTTTCCACAGAAGCAAAGAGAAACTTCTTTGCAGGCCTCCTGTCCTACCCTCGTCTCATAAAATTTTAGTTTATAATGAGTATTGAGACAAGTGAGGGCTTGAGGGAGAAAGGAGGAGGCTAAGAAAATGTCTTTGCAATGAGAGAGAGTGAAAGAAAGGCTGTGTGGTGGATTCAAGGAAGCCTGATTCTTTACACAGGTGTTTCACAGGAGGCTAAAGCTGGGCATTTGGTAAAGTTTGGACTAATTTGTGCATCTGAGTGGAATATGACATATATTCACCAAACTGCTTGCTTCATGGAGTTACACTCTGTGGAAAAATATTTCTCACAGTAAATGACACATATCTTTTGTATTCAGATCCCCAAAATATCCATTAAAGATAATGTCAATCACTGAGTCCTTCCCAGACTTACTGAATCAGAATTTCTGAGGAGTAGAAAGCAGTCATTTAAATAAGCTTCCCCAGTCACTTTAATCACAGTAAAGTTTGAATACTATCATTATAAAGGCCTAAATGAATATTTATTAAAGACTTCTATATTTAGAAAATCAGCATTTATCATGTCATTACACATATTAATTTTAACCCTGGGAACAAATCTCTCATATTTTCCCCAAACAGAAGGTCTCCTTTGGTCCACAACAAGACGGGACAATGAGAAGCAAGCAGTGACTATTTAACTGAAACACCATTCTCTTCCCTTTCCACATTCCTGACCCATCAGAGCATTGACTGCAATGGACGGCAGGTGATTAAGTCCTTATTTTACCACGTTCACTGGCTTCCATTTGCTTCTGTCTAATCTAAGGCAAGTAAACGTATTTTTTCTTCCAAAAAGACTTTTTGTGGAAGAAGATACCCACAAAGACAGATGCTTGGGAAATGCACAGCAGTGGACATTCTTTCTCATTGGCCCACAGCCCCCTGGATACGATTTAGGAATTGGGAGGAGGATCACAGGTGTGACTGAAACTGCTGGTATCTACATGGTTGACAAATTAGCCTCGAGAGAATAGAGTGTATTTAGTATGAATCTGGACCACAGTCACCCTGAATTATCATTTGTCATAGTATATGTGCTTTCCCTGTGCTACATAGTAGGACCTCGTTTATCCATTCTGCATATAATAGTTTGCATCTGCTAACTGAAAACTCCCAATCTGGCCTTCCCCCAGCCGCCCCCCACTTGGCAACCACAGGTATGTTCTCTGTGTCTGTGATAGACTGTACATTTTTGAGTGAGTTTTCTTAGGGAGGGGTGTGGAAATGCAACCTAAAGGGCACTATCCAGGATGTAGAAAAAGGCATAGGTTTTGATATAAGGGAGTATGACTAGTTTCTGGGAGTCTGTCCGTGCTAAACTGAATTCTTCTGAAAATCTTTTGATTAAATAGCTTATAATAGCGTAAATATTTTCCTAACATGCATCATAAAAAGACATTTTTTTCCTTATTCTCACAGGGTAGATATGTGATATGTGATTAGGAATATCTAATTAACAATTGACTTTAATATCTGCATGAACTTCAACAAAAAGACAAATTAAAAATAATGCAAGCAACATACAATGATTCCTTGCTATTTTAATGTTGTTCTTAGAGGATAGAGAGGGACTACCTGTTCACTGACTCCATCTCAATGAAGTGATATAATTATAATTGCCTTTTATCACAACCCATTGTTTATACCCAAGAAGAAGTAATAAAAATTGCCAAAATCCCTCTCCACTTTGCAAGTGATTCATTGTAAACTAAACCTTCTGGGGAAGTTCAGCTCTGCTCAGAGTTTTAGAAAAGGAGTATGAAGAGAAGGCCTCCTTTTAATCAGGACTAAAGGATGAAACCTACGAGGATAGAACCTAAATGTGTTTAATACTATTTGAGATTAAAGAATAAGAGGCACAGTGAATTGGTCTCTACCTTCATTTAAACTTTGCTTATATTAAAAGGACCAAATTAAAATTATATGCTGAGATTTGCTTTAAAATACTGCATTAAAAAAATAGTTGTGAAATAGATTAAACAAGATTGGCCAATCCTTTAAAATTATTCAAGTTGGGTCAGTGAAACACACCAGGATTTATTATCTCCTTCTCTCTTTTTTGTGTATGTTTTAAAATATGATAAAAACTAATTGTGTTTTAGCTCAGAGAATGGTGCCCTCTCTAATTTTTCCACATTTTTTCACAACTAGAATCGGCTATAATCAGTGTATAGTTCTATATTTTTCTTCTATGCTTTTGGAGTTAAATTCCCTATTTAACCTTAATTTCTCAATAAAGCCTCATAAACTTATAGCTTTTGACATGTAATACAAAGATACAGCAAAGTTTGACCTTTTGCATATCAACTTTTCTGTTGAAAATATTGTAGCATTATCATGGACAGGAAATGGTCTGATGCTTTAGGCTGTAATCAGAAGGTTCAGTAAGTGTTGTGCGTGCTCGCTCAGTTGTGTCTGACTCTTTGCAATCCTTTGGACTGTGTTCAGCCAGGCGCCTCTGTCCATGGGGTTTTCCAGACAGGAATATTTTTCCTTCTCCAGAGGATCTTCCCAACCCAGGGATCAAACTCACATCTCTTATATCTCCTGCATTGGCAGGTGGGTTCTTTACCAGCTGAGCCACCAGGAAAGCCTGGAGTCTATTTTAGAAGTGGTGGAGAGTAACTGGTAGCCACACACACACTCACACACACACACACATGCGCATCATGCTTAGGAAAGCATGTGTAACTGATACAGTACTTGTGTCTTTACGTCAGGAAGCGTAGTTGGTGTCAGGCCCTGACTTGTAGCATTTGCTGCTCTTTGTGCTGTACCTACTTCCAAAGGCTGATTTCCAGCTTCCAAAGTGATGTCACAGATGCAGAGCTGAAAAATGTAGCTCATAGTCAGTTCTCAGGGGCCCATATGTACCTGCTCCTGCACATTCCTCCTTTCATAGCACCGGAAGTTGAAACTGTACCTTGCTAGTTGGCACTTGGCCATTTTGCATTCCTCATGTCATTCAAAGAGTATATAGGCAAAGAGTATATAGTATCCTGGCTGGGGGAATGGATCCTCACAAACAGGGAGAAACTGTGTAAGGAAAGAAAAACTGTCAGGAACGTCTAGAATTCTCCTAGAGCTTTTCTCATCACTTCCATCCCAAGCAGTAATAGTAACGGATAATAGGAGCAAAACAAACATATGAGCAAATAAGTCAGCAAACAGATAGATNGCAGTAATAGTAACGGATAATAGGAGCAAAACAAACATATGAGCAAATAAGTCAGCAAACAGATAGATGAGGTATGTTCACTAATGACTCAGACCCCTCAGTGAACCTTTCCATCACTACCAGATGAAGAACATCCGCCAGCTCATGTCTTGACAGATAGATGGAGTGTGCAGTCAATCAAGATCATTAGCTATTAATTCATCCAAACCTAAGAGGGTTTCTGACATATTTATGTGCTCCACACATATTTGGCAACTGAGTAAAACTTATCTTCTGATACCTGGCTGGGCTTCTTTAGTGGCTCAGTTGGTGAAGAATCTGCCTGCAATGCAAGAGACCTGAGTTCGATCCTGGCTTGGGAAGATCCCCTGGAGAACGAAATGACTAACCCACTCCAGTATTCTTGCCTGGAAAATCTCATGGACAGAGGAGACTGGCAGGCTGCCGTCCATGGGGTCCCAAGAGTCAGACGCGACTTAGTGACTAAACCACCTCAACCACTGTTACCTGGTTAATTATGTAAATTGTCTTTAAACCCAGTGTCATTTCTGCTATTAACTAAATTATCAAATATATTAATGACACTATTGCTTGTTCCCCATAAATGTGTGCCAAAGTATAACAGAACTGACCAAATGAACTTTGCCATCCTAATAAAAATCTTCTGGGTCATCCTGATTAGAGATTCCCAGATTTTCACTTTGCTTTACATTGTATTGATGTAAAAAAAAAATCTGGAGAAGTAAAGGCAAAATATGCTCCTTCAGTCAGCTTTAGTAGAGGGTACAGAGAAATCACCATTATCTTGGATACTGAGCTCAAAGAAAGGAAAACATCATACCTGTGATCGATATCATTTGCTGGTTCTCAGTACCACACCTGACCTTCAGACTTCTCTCAAAGAATGCAGGGGAAAAAAATGAAAAGCCATTTTCCCCAGGCCCCCTTCACAGCTGGGAAGTAAAGAAGGAGAGGAGGCGTGAGTATCTTACTGCCACTGCAGACAGGTATTTGTGCATGAGCAGGTAAGCAGCAAACGAAGGGTATTGTTGGCAGTCACAGGAATTTCTCCTGAGTGTATCCATTTCAGTGCTCTCTGCCTTTAAGATCATATTGGAAGCTTCCCAAGGCTTTCCCAAGCCATCCTAGAAAGAACCCACTGGTACTTCAGGCAGCTAAGTTCACTCGTGTTGATTTCCCTGTTCTATCTTCATTTTTCCATATCCTGAAAGTGTCTTTCCTGGTGGTCACATCCTCTGCCCTTGCAATGGTTTAGAAAGCCTCTAGTTACCCATGTAAATGCCTTTCCTATTATCACACTAATGTAGAATCACTTCTGAATAATACAGTCCTATCCCATACTTTTTCCTTTACGAATGATGTGGTGGAGATGGACGAAGCAGAAAGAAGCAGCAAAAGAGAAGGCAGCACAGATAAACGTTTGTTGATTTGTCTTTGAAACTAACACAAAGATTTCCTAGGCCCAAGCGTCCTTAGAGACGGATTAGATGAATGTTTGTTAGAAAACACTGAAATAAAATATTGCTTTAGAAGTCACTTTTAAAATTACTTTAAATGCTACAATGTTGTAATTCTATGAGCCATGAGGTAGCAACCAAGGAATGGGAGTCCTGAGTTATTATGGAATTGTTACCATATTATCTAAAATGTGATAGAATATTAGCAGTAATCACATTGATACCTGATGTTATCACTTAAAAATGCTTCAAGTTACAAACCTGCATAATTTCCTCATAAAATATTCACTATTAAAGCTTCTTTATTCTAAAATTACGCCCACCTTTATAATTATTTTCAACTGATATTAAATTTATCAATAAACATATATACAGTGAATATTTCTTATATGCAAGACCTTATGCTAAGCAGTACTTTGGTACATATCAAAGTTACAATTTATGTGCTTCCTGATTTTACAGAGCACCAGAGTCATCCTNAATAAACATATATACAGTGAATATTTCTTATATGCAAGACCTTATGCTAAGCAGTACTTTGGTACATATCAAAGTTACAATTTATGTGCTTCCTGATTTTACAGAGCACCAGAGTCATCCTTAATCCTTTCATTCAATCCATCTGCTTGTAGCTGTATGTTCTAACTCCAAAATAGATCTTAAATCTATCTATTCCTTTTCATCTTTCTTATATGCTAGGCCTTATGTTATGCATGTAGTTTGGGACATATCAAAGTTATAATTTACATGCTTGCTGATTTCACAGAGCCTGAATCATCCTTAATCCCTTCATTCAATCCATCAGCCTGTAGCTGTATGTTCTAACTACAAAATACATCTCCTATCTATTCTTTTTCATCTGTATTATAGTCACACTACCAACAAAGCTAGTGGAGGTGATGGAATTCAGGTTGAGCTAGTTCAAATCCCGAAAGATGGTGCTGTGAAAGTGCTGCACTCAATACGCCAATAAATTTGGAAAACTCAGCAGTGGCCACAGCACTGGAAAAGGTCAGTTTTCATTCCAATCCCAAAGAAAGGCAATGCCAAA